TATCACTGCATTTGAAACATTATTCTATTTCTAGCCCCTTTATTGGGCCTTGGTTTGGCTTATTTTGGCTGGAGGCTGGTTTCTTGTCTTCTTTGTTGCTCCTACTTCGAATGTATATGTTGAGATCATTTTTTTTTCTTCTTTTGGTTTTAATATCAGATTTGAGGTTGTAGTCTTGCCTTGTAATTGGGGCTCTATTTTGACCTTTGGTGGTTTAATGTGGTCTCTCTATTAAGCTTAATTTGGTCCTTTGATGGTTTAGCTTAACCCCTATACTAAACTCAGTTCTGCCTTGTGATAGGCTATAGTTTTACCTTGTGATTGGGGCTCGATTTTAGTCCCTGCTTCCTACTGGGGTTCGGTTTTGGTTCCTGCTCCTTGGTTGAGCATTTGGTTTTACTTGATTTTGAAGGCTCTGTTTTAAGCTCCTCGATTATTCTCTGTTTTGAAATCAAGATTTGTGGATTCATTTAATTTTAAGAGTTTGGTTTCGTGCTTCCTGTTGTCCCTTTGCTCAAGTATTGGCCATTGGAGTATTTTGATGTTTTGGAATATCAACTTGGGGCTCGGTTTTGCTTCTTCTTGGTAGTTCGGCTTAGCCCTTATGCTGGGCTCGGTTCTGTTTCCTGCTGTTCCCTTCATTCAAATTTAAATATTGAAAATGTTTAATGATTTGGGTTGCTATTTGGTGGCTCGGCTTTGGCTTGGTGGTGGCTCGTTCTTTTGGTCATTTGCTGGGCTCGATGGACGGGTTTGGCTTAAAACTAAGCTCAATTTCAAGGAATTATATTATGCTCTTGGCCTTTGCTGAGCTTGGTTATGGTGTGGTGTGGCTGGATCTTTAGTCATTTTTGGAATCATTGGTTGGTGGTTTTCTTCATTTTATTGTCCCTAGCCGTGAGTCCTTATTTGTGGGTTCTTTATGTTGAATGTTGGTTAGTAGTTTTCGTTACTGCATAGGCTTTACACAAAAATTTTTGAGTTGTTTTAGCCTTTGGGCTGTGGTTTCTCTTGGCTAGGAAGGTATATTGAAACTTCAAGAAGTGTTTTAGTTCTTTTGATTACCATCTTCTCGCTACATTGTTTTAACATGGAGATTTATGGATTTATTTAATTAATTGGGGCTTCTATTTTGAGCTTCTTGGTTGTCTTCAGTTTGAAATCAATGCATTTGGATTTGTCTGATTTTGGAGGCTTTATTCTAAGCTTCTTGTTTATCATCTGTTTGAATAAGAACTTTGGATTTACTTGATGTTGAAGGCTCTGTTCTAAGCTTCTCGTTCGTTCTTTGTTCGAAGGAAAATTTTGGACTTATTTAATGATGGGGGCTTTTGTTTTGAATCTCTCAGTTTTCTTCAGTTTGAAGTGGATGCACATGGATTTGTCTGATATTTAGGGGCTTTGTTTTGTGCTCCCCTTGTTGCTCCTATTTGAATACATGGTGTAGTAATTTTTTTTTGCTTTGAGTAGTCAGTGTTGGTGGCTCGGTTTTGCTTATTGCTGCCCCTTTATTCGAATACGAACATTGAAAATATTTTGATGCTTTGAGTAGTTGTATGGGGGCTCGGTTTTTGCTCTCTTTGCTTACCTTTGTTTAAATACCTGTTGGAAATCATTTTTCTGGTTTGAAAAATATGTGGGGCTCGGTCTTTGCTCTCTTTGCTTCCCTTTGTTTAAATACCTGTTGGAAACCACTTTCCTGGTTTGAAAAATATATGTGGGGCTCGGTTTTTGCTCTCTTTACTTCCCTTTATTTTAATATATGCTGGAAATCCGTTTTTATGGTTTGGAAAATATATTTGGGCTGCCCCTCGTTCGAGTATTGCTAGAAATGAGTTTTTATGGCATGGAAAATATATTTGGGGGCTTGGTTGTGGTCCTCTTTGCTGTTCCTTATTCGAATACCCGTTGGAATTTTTTTTTATGTTTTGGAATATATGTTTGGAGCTGCAGTTCTTACTCCTCTTGATGTTGGATTTTAATCTCTTGTTGGAATTGGCTTCCTGTTTACATAAATTTCATAAGTTTGAACTTAGCAACATGAGAATAGAAACGTATTTCTCCTTAAAAAATTGAGAACATGCAACGATCATATGTACAGGTTTAAAGTTTGAACTTAATGGTAGAAGTTGGATGTTTTAGAAATGCTTAAATAAATACTTCTCTCATTTGTCTTGATATGGAATATACAAAATCTTGTTGGATGAGCATATGAAATATTGAGGTGGCCTATTATTTCGAGACGAGGGATAATAGACAATGATGCAAGAGAACCATTGATCAGCTCTTCTTATAGCTGAAAGTAAAAAATCAATATTCAATTATTGTGATGCCCTTTCACCTCTAGATCGTCAACAGCTGTAACCTTTTTCAAAAGGTTTGAAAATTGGTAACCACAAAAAAACAGATACTACACTTGGGAACGAACATATACTACAAACACTCCACAGATACTACACTTGGGAAAGAACAGATACTACAAACACTCCACAGATACTACACTTAGGAAAGAGCAGATGCTATGAGTTTTACACATATATTACACTTGCACAAGAAATAGATACTACACTCACATACTCTCTATACAATTCATACACTACACCACACATAACATAATACATCTCAGATATTATACAACGAAAACCACACACTACGCCCTACACGACAGATACTACATTACACATATAGGTGCACTATACTTTGAGGAGTTCAGATACTACTCCATTCACATATTCCTTAAACAATAGAGAAAAAGAGGTCTAGTCTGAGCCCAACCCCAAACTAAAAGCTAATATTCCACTTTAAATTTTCATATGTTTATCACTTAGCCTTTCTTTTAAAGTCTACAAATGTTTATCTAACCCCTTTTTATCATGCAATTGTAATATGTTTTGTAGCATCGCCAAAATTAATTAGGTACTTTTAGTTGTTTCATTTTTGTTCTTTTACTGCATTTTTTTTATTGCACAGTCTTTCCTTTCTTTATATTTCTTTGCTTTCATAGTTTTCCTTCAGTCCTTTCCTGTTACAGTAGTTTACTACACTGTTGGTCCTTTTCCTGCGCTACATTGTATTTTGGACCTTTATCTATATTTAAAGTCTTCAATATAATTCTCCTAGCATGTTTGTATAACACCCTAGGATAATCCGTTCGAGGCAGGGTTTTTTTTCTTTTTTCTTTATCCCTTTTCCTTGGATCGAAACTACAACGTTGTCGATTGGTGATTCATCTCCGGGCAGCAATCAGGACTACGACAGATGGTGGTAGAAGGAACTTCAACCGAGTTTCGATAGATTTAAATAACATACTCATGATGTCGATGTTGTTCGTCTAGTAAAACATGTTCGTCTAGTACAACGTAAATCCTCATATTATCTTTTAGGACTTTCTACGATTTCATATCGTACGATATAAGTCCTAAACCTTTTAGGCTTTCGAGGTTGTCGTCTGACACGACATAAATCCTTCTATTTTCTCGAGTTATTTGCATAGGATATGCAGACACAAGTCCCGAATATCTAAATAACTTACAAGACTGAAACATCAAATAATTTCTCAATTTCTAATTTCTCTTTCAAAGACGTAAAGCCAAATCATAGGTTAGTTTGAGATGTCGCTGAATATTCTTCAGTATCTTCGACATCTCCTACTTTTCGCTTCTTTGGATTCCGGAAATACTGTTCCTATTTGAACCTATCCCATGTGACTTCCTATGAACAATCGTGGAAACCTGAACGTTGAATTCTTGAAGTCGAAACTCTGATCTTAATCAAGATTCTTGTTAGGTGGCTTCGGTTGTCTATTGTCTATGATGTAATTAACTATAGGGGTTTGCCTCTATAGGGAATTAAGAACTCAGATTAATCTAAACTCTGTCTAATCTGTGTATTAGATAGGGAAATTTATCCGCTATAAATTCGCAGACCAAAATAGAGTCATAAACTTTTAAGTTTAGATAGTTAAACATACTAATAAGTGATACGATCATCCTTCGAGAAGATGTATCATTTATGGTATCGCGATACGATCATCCTTCGAGAAGATGTATCATTTATGGTATCGCGCTCAGCTATTTAAACTATTAGATATATGAGGTTTATCCGGTCTCATTATTTTCTAAAATAAAAAAAATACTATTTTCACAAACTTAAAATTACATTATATATATTATATTAAATTTAAATTTTAAAATCTTATTTAAAAAAAAAAATAGCCGACAATCATATGTAGATCCTCTTTATTCTCGTTGTACTTCTCCATCAGACTGCTCAATAAATGAAGCTTCAATTAAGAATAAAGCAATATTTTATTCGTCACAGACTACTTTTCATCTCATAAACCGGTACACTTTATGTAACCCAAATTAAGAATAGAAGAATACCCAAGGAAGCAATTGCCAGAAGACAGATCTACGGAAATCAAAAGCCACTAGCTCTAACCAAATCGTGCAATGAGAGTGGGAGAATCTTAATAATTGAAGGGAACTTGCAGAACCTGGATCATATGAAGTTACTTGAGAAATTGAGACCCGCAATGGATGGACTTGTGTTATGATTTTGCATGGATCTTCATTTTATTTTGTAAAACATTAGGAAATGTTTCAGAACTCGGTAGTTCCTTTTTTTCTTTTTAGTTACTCTTAATGTTTTGATTTTACAATTTTTATGACTGAAAACAAGGGAGAAAAACATATTAGTACACTGAAGTTTTTTCACTTAATTCTGGCTGAAGCATAAAATCTAGGAAGTTCGAAACAGTTTGTTACTGTTTCATGATTTTTATTATTTTTAGTCATTGGGAATAAAGAAATATTTTACTTCATTGAAATTTTGTTGGAATAGAACAAGGAGTATAAATACTATTGAGCTTGACCGGTAAAATATGTTAGGATTGCTATTTGATTTCAAGATTTTCTACTGGTTCCGTGCGTTCATTGTTCTAGGACTTGTAGAATTATATTCATCTTGAGCACAGAAAAATAAAGGCTGCTGCCGTACAGGAAAATGTGCATTGGAAGGGAAGGTTGAGCATAAATTTGACATGGAACCTCATAGTGAAAACTTTGGGGAATATGGCAAACTTTGCCGTGAAAGGACAAGCAAAGCTATGATAAAAACCAGACAAATTCAGGTGTGCTCACAGGACTATCATAAATATAGACCTTTGTATATGTTAGTCTTTTTCCCTGATTCTATTCCAATTTTGTTTATCTAATTTGATTAATGTTTTATATTTAAAGATAATTGACAAGGATCATGGTGTTCTTATGAGGCCCATGCCTGGTATGGTTGGCTTGGTTCCATCTGGTTCAAAGGTAACATCATTTATATATTTATTTGCCTTTAGTTGTTCCAAATATAAATGGGTAAAGGATTATTTTCCATATAACATTGGACTTGATTTATTATGGCCAGTTTAGAATCTTTTCACTAGTCCATTTTGGCAGGTTACAAGAACAGTGTCCCAACTAATCTCTATGAACCTAATCCGAGCTGTGGTATTAGGCCCATTAAAATTTGTTAGGTATGGATTAAGTGTATCAAGTTCCAAATTTTATCCCAAATTTTTTCCTGATTATACTTAAATAGGTTATAAAATTTTGTTAGATTGGGTCTACCCCTAATCTCGAGAGAGGGTAGTCCATGAAAAAA